TGAGTATCGTGCCATTGCATACACCGTACAAGATACCTTGCATATTCGGTCAGTCTTATTTGAGCTCGGATTTCCGGTTACCGAACCGGTCCATTTGCGGTGTGACAATGTTTCTGCTTCCTATTTGACTGCTAACCCTATTCAGCATGCCCGGAGTAAACACATACAGATTGATTATCACTTTGTTCGCGAACGTGTTGCTCATGGAGATCTAGTTGTTCAACATGTTCCTACTCATTTACAGTTGGCAGATATTTTTACTAAGAGCCTCCCAAGTCAGCGTTTTCATTTTTTGAAAGACAACCTGCGCGTTGTTTCTCCCGCACAGCTTGAGGGAGTGTAATAGATTATTTAATAAGGATATTTATGTACTTTTACATTTAAACTCTCTACTATAAATATATCTGTCAGGGCTCCTTAGAGAGCATCCTGTTCTATTATTTCACAGGATATGCGAGATGTGGAAAAAATATCTTTTCCAACTTAAGCTTTTCTTGTTGAGGAAGATGAACTTCAGATCTCAAGAAAGCTTTTTAAATGTTCGTAGAGAGAGCAAAAGTTATCTGAGTAGTTCTTCATGATGTATCTGATATACTAGAGTTGTCTTCCCGTTGGAGGAAGAAGACAGCTGCATTAAATGTGCGTACTGTACATTTGACTGGTTGGTTCCAAAAGCAGACGGCTTGCCATCTAAGTAGCACGGAAACGGGAAACGGGAAACGTGAAACAAGAAACGGGAAACGCGAGAAACGTAATTTCTAAAAAACATAGGACACGAAACGTGGGAGAAACGCGTAAATATTATAAAATATAAGGATATATTTATAAATATTTTTTAATATATGTACACAACTTTTTCCATATGTACATGTTTTTTTAATATAATTTGTTTAGTAACCAAATAATAAAATCACTCTACATATTCGAATTTAGATATTTTTTCATATTAGTACATAATTAAACATAAAATGTACGGAGTAATACATTTCTAGCCATACATTGCGTTACGAAATGTAACAAGTGTTGCCGCTGAGAAATACCACAAAAATTCACTATGAAAAATTATTTTCCACCACAAAATCTTTTGAAAAAGAAAAAAAATTGGAATCCGAGGTTTTCGAAACGTAGTGAAAAGGGTTTCCAAATTTTTCTTAATTACGGAAACGGCCCCGAAACGGGAATGTGAAGTTTCCGAGTTTCCGAAACGCTTCCGAGTTTCCGAAACGTGGAAACGTGAGCCATGGAGAGTTTCTGTGCTTCCCTAGCTTGCCATTTTTGGGCGCATAAAGATATTGTTTTTGGATCCTTGGTCAATCATCAGCTTTAAATATCTCAACGTGTGAAGCACATTAAATGGGCATTTAATGCGCGTACTGTAGCTTTCCCGTTGAGAGGCTCCTAGCCGTTAGGGTATATCCCGTTAGTTTAACCGTATTAGGTAACATCAAAATTCTCTAAGTGTGAGGCCATCTGTTGCTTTACACACAGGGGCAATCTCAGAGAGCCCCGATCACTTCTGTCCAGTAGAAGTCCAACAGAGGGCCTGAAGGTCTTCTGTCCAGTAGAAGTCCAACAGAGGGCCTGAAGGTCTTCTGTCCAGTCGATTATTCTAATGCTTACATATAGAAAGTTCTAATACAATTTTCTAAAGGGGTTCTATTCTAAATGCCTAAATAGTCTAGCATCATCAAAATCTAAATACAATTTATTCCTTACAATATGGATTTCCCTCCTTAAACACAAAGGGGAACTATGTTCAGTCTTTCAGGAGTTGTACCGAGTGGTTAAATCACAATACATGTGTAACATCCAAGTTTTACAATCTGATAATGGAAAGGAATATGTCGTTCATGAGATGGAAACATTATGCAAACATAACTCCATAAGACACCAAACCTCATGTGTGGGGTACACCCCAGCAAAATGGACTAGCAGAAAGACGAAACCAAAAACTTTTAGAGATTGTTCGGACATCCTTGTTTGACATGAATGTCCTACGTAAATAATGGGGAGAGGCAGTTCGATCAGCATCTTAATTATCTCATGAACAGAACCCCATCTCGAGTTATTGAGTTCAAAACCCCGATCCAAGAACTTCATGAACTTGTAACAACCCCAAGAAGTGTTAATATGGAACCAAGAATTTTCGGATGCAGAGCCTATGTTCATCAAGACCTAGGTAAACTGGAACCTAGAGCTATTCAATTCGGTGCATTTTCTTGGGATATGCAGTTTTTAAAAAGGGTTATCGATAGAACAGTGAGTTTGAAAAGGGTTATCAATGTTATGACCCTAAGGAGAAGAAACTCGAGATGTTGTATTCCATGAAAATGTTCCCTTCTTCGGGAGTGAGTGTTCTCTTCAGAGGGAGAATTTATCCAACAAGGAAAATGAGAACATGAACAAATATAACGGTGAAATAGATCAATCGGGAGAAATTAAACACAAAATTCTCTGAACAGTGAGTTTAAAGTTAACGGATCAACTGAAAAAGGAGATGATAATGTGGAACCAGGGATTGTGGATGATAGCACATATATGGAAGAAAATCTTGAAGTTGGAACACTTGAAGACAAAGATACTACAACTTCCCCAACGGTCATTACCGTAGAAAGACCACAAGAATCATCCTCGGTAACCGCAAACCCCATTTCTCCTAACGATTTATTTTTGCAGGATATTTCGAACTCACCTGATGAGTACAACACACCTCCTGAACCTAGGTACCCCGTAAGGTGGAATCGAGGAGTCCCAAAAAGGAACTATCAACCTGATCTCAACGCACTAGCAAAATATCCCATTAACAACTATGTGTCCTCTCACCGGCTAGCTAAATCGCAGGCTCTCTTGATAGAACAATTATCCTTTGTGTCTACTTTAAGTAACATCCAAGAAGCTTTGAAAGATGAAAAATGGAAGAAAGCTATGAATGACGAAATGGAGGCAATATATACAAAAGAATCATACATGGGACTTAGTAAATCTCCCTCCGGGAAAGAAGGCGGTGGGATGCAGGTGGATATATACTGTCAAACTAGACTTTGAAAGGAACATTGACAGATATAAAGCTAGACTCATAGCAAAAGGATACACTCAAAAATATAGGATTGATTATGGAGACACTTTTGCTCCCGTAGAAAAAATAAACACCATTCATATTCTTTTATCTATAGAGGCAAATGAAGATTGGCCACTACGGCAGTTTGACGTAAAAAATGCGTTTCTGAATGGGCAACTGGAAGAAGAAGTTTACATGGACCCCCCTCCTGGCATACACTGCAAAGGCAAAGTGTGTAAGTTAAGGAAGGCATTATATGGGCTGAAACAATCCCCTCGAGCATGGTTTGGAAGATTTTCAACCTTTATGAAGAAGATTGGATACAAGCAAAGTGATGTTGATCATACTCTTTTTGTTAAGCAACAACAGAAGAACATAACAGCTTTGATCGTGTACGTAGATGATACGGTAGTCACAAGAAAATGATCCTGGAGAAATGGCTAATTTGCAGAAGGTGCTTGCAACAAAATTCGAACTAAAAGACCTTGGAAACCTAAAATATTTCTTAGGTATAGAAGTTGCTAGATCACAACAAGGCATATCCATGTTTCAACAAAGTATGTGCTGGATTTGCTTGCAGAAACGAGTATGCTTGACTGTCGACTAGCTGATACACCAATCGAAACAAATCACCGATTGATGATTCATCCAAATCAAGTTCCAGCCAATAAAGAAAGGTATCAACGACTTGTGGGGAAGTTGATTTACTTATCACACACCCGACCGGACATATCATATGTAGTTAGTGTAGTAAGTCGATTTATGCATGCACCGAGTGAAGATCACATGGAAGCTGTACATAGGAAACTAAGGTATCTGAAGTCTGCTCCAGGAAAAGGACTTTTTTTGCGAAAAAACAAAGTAAATGGGTTAGCGGATACACTGATGCAGATTGGGTTGGAGATGGAACAAATGGGAAATCAACATCAGCATACTTTACGTTTGTGAGAGGTAATCTCGTCACATAGAGAAGCAAAAAGCAAAAGGTTGTTGCCAGGTCAAGTGCAGAATCAGAGCTTCAGTGAATGGTTCATGGTGTCTCTGAGCTCCTATGGATAAAAAGAATGTTGAGAGACCTTGGGATTAGCCTCACAGATCCGATGAGGCTAAATTGCGACAACCAAGCTGCACTGAAGATAGCAAACAATCATGTTCATCACGAGAGGACAAAAAATGTGGAGGTCGATCGTCACTTCATTAAGGATCATCTATCATTAAGGATTAATATACAAATGTTTTGGAAAACGAAGTACAACGGCATGGTATATAAGTATATGAAAAATTCCTTTTGTACACGTTTTTGTACCCATCAGTACACGCATGTGTCTGTGAGAGTTTTTTTTTGTCTGTGAAGTGCGGTTCACAGACAAAAGCTGGTTTGTTTTGTCTGTGAAATTTTCCACAGACAAAACAAGCCAACTTATGTCTGTGGACCGCGCTTCACAGACAAAAAAAAACTCTCACAGACACATGCGTGTACTGATGGGTATAAAAATGTGTACATCAAGAATGGTTGTAAGTATATTGGTATGGCCGAGATCTAAGCAAACCAGCAAAAATTCTGTGTGATATTATCCTTCGTACTCATAAATAAGCTAGTTTTGAGGTCCTAGCTCTAAACAATCAAGTAAATAAAAAAGCGCCAACAGTTAAAAACTTTGTTCAGAGGGGATTCAAACTTATTCGAGTAAAAGTTGAATTTCATGGCATGGCCATTTGCACAAAGAAAAACAACAAAATTTTACCGTCATTTTTGCAACAAAACATATGTATATCTTAGGGAAGAACTTAATTCAAGGCCATTTGAAGCCATTTCCCCATTTTTCAAAGTTGGGGCACGATAAATTTAACTACTTCCGGAGACTTTGTTCCCCACACTCATGCACCAGCTCAAATATCAAATCAGACAAAGACAAACGTCCCCTTATTATTGCACAATTCATTAATTTTATGCTTATATAGACGTAACCTTAGTGGATTCTCATCAACTCTATTTCCCATTCAATCAGCACTACACCGGCCATTAATTAATTATTCAATAAACCGGCCGGCCGGCCCGCTGACTGCAATTTCATTGCTGACCCTCCACCCACGGCCGCCGGGAAAGAAACCATGTCTATGAAGGAGTGCACCCACCACAAGGAGCGGAGAAGAAAGCTAATCCGCCGAGCCTTTTCGGGCGGTCTGATTTTCCTCTTCGTCGTCCTCCTCACCATCCTCCTCGTTTGGGCCATTCTCCAGCCCGCGAAACCCACTTTCGTGCTCCAAGAAGCCACCATCTTCAACTTCAACCTCTCCGCCCCCAACATCTTGTCCACCACCATCCAGGTCACCGTCATCGCCCGGAACCCCAACAGCCACGTCGGCGTTTACTACGACAGGCTCAGGGCCTACGCCACGTACCACGACCAGCAGATCACTTTCTACGCCGACATCCCGCCGGTCTACCAGGGCCACAAGGGCGTCAACGTTTGGTCTCCGTTTGTTTACGGCAGCAACGTCCCCATTGCGCCCTTCAACGGCCACTCTCTGACCCTGGACAGGGCTGACGGCGCCGTCCTGCTCACCGTCAGGATTATAGGGCGAGTTAAGTGGAGGGTGGGGACCGTCGTCACCGGACATTACCATCTCCGCGTCACTTGCGAGGCTTACATTCCGTTTGGGGTGACGCCCAGAGACGGCGTGGGTAACGCTGTCAAATATCAGATCGCCCGTTCTTGCGGCGTTAGTGTTTAAGAGTAATTAAGTCAACTTTTTTGCAAAAAATAAAAATAATTAAGTCAACCAAGTGGTTGTGTAATTCTAAAATTCTATAGTACTTTATTTTTATTTCCATTTTCTTTTTGTTTTTAATCCCCTGCTGCTCAGCCTATATAGTGCGTTTAGAAACAATTATACATTTTTCTTTAGTAATAATAGCTCCACCAATAACACTATTTGTTATAATTATTATTAGGATTAGGATGATTATGTTATGGTTGGGAGCTAGGGGATTATTCAAAATAACTTAAAGTTTGATCATTTTGAAAATATTGAGCAATAAATATTTTTGTGATATCTATGCATACATTCTCTCGTACCTTTGATGTTCATATAACTAATTATCTCCTTGTATGTGTTTTATGTCACTGATATTATGATATATGCCGGAGTAAAAGAAATAATGATTAAAATAAAGATATCAAGGAAAGTCGCCTTAAGGGGAAGTTGCCTCCTAAATAAATACGGGTAACAACTCCGGTACCTTTCTAAAATATGGGGTACTGTACCCACCATTCATTTGATTGGACCACGTCACTTAATCATTCTTAATTTAGATTTAAATAAATCAACTGTTACATTGTCATTGGTCCATGTGGACAAAGGTATGATACCTTATGGGTACCATAGAATCTACCATAAATACGTCCCTAATCTCATTCATCACATTGAATCTCAATGAAGCTAATGAACCAACTCGATCTCTTGCAACTATTCTCTATCCTTCTTTATCACACTTAGTATATATGAAATTGCACAAAGCCAAAAGTAGAAGTAGGAGTAAAATAATATCTTTGTATTTTGTTTAAATAATATATGACACATATATTAAATAATATCTTTGTATTTACACTAGTAACCTCAAGAAAGGAGAATGATATGACACACATATATACTCCCTCCGTCCCTTATAACTTTGCCAACTTTCCTTTTTTGGTTGTCCCAAAAATTTTGCCACTTTCCCTTTTAATCAATCAATTTGTGTCTCCTGTTATTTCTCTCTCCTCTTCACAAATTTCTACCACACAATTTTTACTTTATTATTCTACGTGCCGGTCAAACATGGCAAACCTTTAAGGGACGGAGGGAGTAGAAAAGATAGAATTAGAGAAGGCCAGGGTGGCAGGGTATCATTATGGGTAAGTGATTTCATGGATACTATCTCAAGGGGTTGTCTATGTGGGAGTGGAAGCCTAGCTCTCAGGTTTATTCTATGATGCAAAAACTAGGGAGTACAAAGGAGGATCTGATTTTTAGGTTCGGGGACCTAATCATATAGGTGAGCATTTCTAGAAATGGTACACTAGCGAGAAGCCACTAGCCTCTTGCGTTTATGACACTAGTAATATCACCCGTGCGATGCACGGCATGAGATTATTTTTTAATGTATTGTAGTTAATAAGGTCCAACACACTGTAATTATTGACGACACTAAACAATGTCACGCAATATGGAAGAGTACCGCAATTTGGTTTGTGGAACCGCATAATGTCCCTCATGCTCCGATCCAATGCCTCAAAACAAAACCTATGTAACATTGGAGCTTCGTCCCATACAATCAACTTACACCGTACAAATATTAGCTTGGCAAGCGGGCTTCCCTGTTTAATATGACACGTGGAGTCTTCGTTAAGACTTATCGACATTGCAAATCTAGAGTGAGCGGTGCGTCCTCCCGGCAACAAAAGAGATGCAATACCACTCGATGCAACATTAAGGACAATCTGACCTTTAGACCTAATGGCTGCAAAAAGGGTCTTCCACACAAACGTCTTTCCTGAACCCCGTAGCCATAAACAAAATAAATACCACCAACCTCTTCATCAACAGACCGCATTATTGTATCATACACTTGCAGTTGCTCATCCGTAAGAGAATTGAACAACGTAGAATGTTCCGCTATCATTGCGCTTTGATCATAACACAATTCTTCAAATATAAGTCTGTCATCAGAAGACAATAGTGAATCGAGAATGACCGTAGGCATCGGGGGGTAATTCGCAAACTTTTCCCGCGGGTTTGTAACAACCTCTCAATTTCTTCCAGAGCAAACCTCACTAACTGGTCCTCAGAAAGAATAAGATCTGGAATATGAGAAATAGTTAGTGTGAGGAAAATGGAAAGTATGGATGGAAAAATAAATATCTAGGATTCATTAGTAGGTTTGACAATCATAACCTGGATGCTGTAATATTCTCCTCCGCATATATTGGATGTCATCAGCCATGAAAGACCAACATTTTTCCCAAACATACTCAGGTCTTGCCATTGACTCTGTCCACAATAATATCACAAATAAAATTCTCAAACAAAAGGCAGATGAGAAATGGCTTGCCTCTATGAAAGCATCAATGAATTCTTTATCATCCTCAAGCAAGCCCAACGCATAACATGCATCACGAAAAGAATCACAAATGACACCATTCAAGGTTCTCAAATTTTTTAGGAATAAGACTTGGATGTTGTTGTTGTTTCAAACTATAATTTTATATGCGGATATGCTAAATAGACTAAATAATTGTTTATCTCATTTATTAATTTTGGAATATAGTCATCAAAACTATTCAATCGTAACAATTAGTATCCCACAATAATTAAAACTACAATCTTTTGTGTATTAAATTGGCAAAATTTATTGTGGGGTAATAAAAACTAAATTACATCCAAAAATATACTACATATAAAATACATACACACCTGTAAATAAAGAAACAAATAAAAAGCGATTTGGAAAAATCAAACAAATATAAACTACGATCAATAAAAAACTTAGGACCTGCTACATAAAAAAAATATAAACAATTTAGGAAATAATTAGACACCAAATACACACTCCGTATATATTCGTTTATATAACAAAAGGCAAAAATAAGCCATAAACATAGTAGTAATCCAAATATAAATTGACTGATGATTCAAAACGAAGTATATATTTTATGGAACAATAGGTTACCGGTCTATTCCGGTCCGGACCTGTTTTTTCCGGGTTTGACCCGGACCGGACCGGAAACCCGGAATCTTGAAAAACTAAGGACCGAAACACGGACCGGTAAATACCGGTCCGGTCCGGACCGGGTCATTCCGGTCCAGTTCAGGTCTAAAATACGGTCCGACCCAGTTAATGCACAGCCCTAGACAGAGCATTCCGACCACATATGTGATGAATTAATCGTCGTGTTGATTACATCCTGTCTACTCCCATGAGGTATCACCGAGATTACCTGCCGAAAATCAAAGGTTTATTTAAATTAATTGAAGGTAAATTATTTATAATGACTAACTAATAAGGTGACTGTAAATTTACATGAATTGCATTTTTTAGACGAATTGTCTCTCAAGATAGGTAAAATAAGGGAGTAAAATATGTGAATATGTGTTATATCATTCTTGAATTATACTTGAATCTAAATGTGGGGAAATGTTCAAATATGTGGTTCTACTATTTGTCTATTTCCAATAATATCCAAGTACGATCTGATCTTATTTGTTTAAGTTTGGTTTGGTTTGAGACTGAAATAGGTCTAAGTATAAACATCTCAAGTAATATGGTGACTATGCATTTATACGAATTGCATTTTTTACACGAATTGCCCGGGTAATTTGGCAAATCAGGGGGTGGGCAAATATGTGAAAGTGTCTCAAGTAATACGGTGATCGACTATGCATTTCTACGAATTGCACTTTTTACACGAATTGCCCGGGTAATTTGGCAAATCAGGGGGTGGACAAATATGTGAAAGTGTGTTATGGTATTCTTGAACAATACTCAAGTATGATAATTTTTCAATCGGGCCTTAACCGGCTCTATTCGATCCTAGACCGATCCCGAGCTAACGAAAGCTAACTCAAACTAAATGTAGAGGATTTTTTTTCGATCTCTGATTTTCATAACCGACATCTTATGAATAATTTTTTATATCATCAAAAAACCAACATAGACCGGACAGGCCCGACCCTTAACGCCATCATCCAGAACCCCGACCAATAATGAGATGATGTGAAATGTGTTACTGATTGAGGTCAATTGCAATTAAAATGCAATTTAAAATTTTGTACAGAGTAGTTGTCAAAAACTGGTAAAAGTATATGAGAGTTTAAGCTATACATTCAAGACTACACGTTAAATAGTCCATTACACAAATATAACCCCAAAAAGTCACACCCCCTCATTTAAAAGATCAACACATTAAATTTTGACACAATATTTAAAGACAAAATAATAAGGGTAATGAATAGTGTAAATTAAGTAGAAGAGAATTTGGAAAAGTAGAAAATAAAAAATAGAAAAAGTAAGGGTAATTTAGTATTTTTTAAGGAAAAACTTAAAAACTTTTAAATATCTCTTAAAAAGGAAATTGTAGCAAACTTTAAAATAGAGAGGAAGTATAATTTTTTAAAATGCACAAAAAATATATTACATAACTTATTTAAAAAGAACAAATAGACACAATGGCATTAAAATAAACTTTAAGAATGATAACTACCAAATTAGTCATATCTACATTTTATTAATACAAACTCACTAAACGAATTATTATACGGAGTATCAAAAATGGTTTTCACTTGCTCCGTATAACATAAATATTATTTATACTTAATTCGCAGGTTTCCCCATTGAAGAAAACAGATGAAATCCAAAGGCATTTTAACGGGCCCGTCTAGAGCAGCCCATTCGTTGTCCGAGTAAAGCAAATATACGGGCCGTCAGCGCAGCCCAAAAATCTGTGTAAATCAAATAAAACAGCCTAACGCTGAAAACGACTCTCCCTCAAGCCCTCCCCTTTCTCCGCCGACACCCACCAACCTTCGACATTCCTTAATCCTTCTCACTAAACTCCAACTATGGCGTTCATCAGCCGTTCATCCAATCGACGGGAAAACTCCAAGCGGTGCTCATTCATCATCGACCACTTCTCATCCCTTATTCCTCCGTGAAGACACTATCGACGAACACAGGCTGAATCCGGCATCAATCTGCGCTATGACTCACACGGAAACGGTAAGATCTGATCAATTTCACTACACACAACCACTTCGTCGAATACATGTTTTCTAAAGAACAAACAAATTTATACTACGTATGTTTTTTAACTACAACATACAAACTCCACAGATCTAGAAGTTTCATGGCCATGGATCCATATTTGTTTCCCGGTAATAGTGATACCTGCAAGATATATGTTTACGGTTCGATTGGTTTTCATTTCCAGAATTTATTGATAATTTTTTGTTGATAATTTATTGATAATTTAATTTGACGAATAAACTCATTCAAACAGACATTACAGACATTTGATTATGTTATAAACCCCTTTAAGTGACATGGATCGAAAAAAAATGT